CCCCCCAATACCTTCCCTAGGCCCCCCCTATACCTCCCCCATACCCTCCCCCCCCCTCTCCCCAAAAGTTTCTCAGCAGATTTGGGCTTTACTCAATTTCGAGTTGACCCTGCGTCAAAAGTTGTTCAGATTATTTTTCTGCACAACACAGTTTTCTCCGGATTTTTTTCTTTTTTCTTTTTTCTTTTTTTACAGGCACCTGACCTGGCTATTGCCCGGCTGGGCTCCCTGGGCAACCAAGGCGACCCGTGCAGTATGGTTGGTAACGAAGGTGGAGAAGGGGGAGAGGGACGGGGGAGAGGGACGTGTTAAGTGGATCCCGTCAGCTGTTCTCAGTTTGACCTACTGTGTGCAGAAGTTTGTCAGGCCATTGCGTGTGCTTCCTCTTTTTTCTTTTTCTTTCCTTTTTAAAATCCTGGCGATTGCCGGGAGGGGAATGAAGCGCTTATAAGCTGACGGCTTGGTGGCGCTGAACTTCTTGAATAATGTTTTTTAGTCTCATGCTGTTTAAATTTTATTTGCATACTTATTGTATGTAATAGTTCGGGAATTGTGGCCTTCAGGACCGAGATTGAAATTGGAATGATACAGAGAAGATTAACAGTGCCCCTGCGCAAGGAGGACCAAAAAAATAAATCAGGAATTGTGTGAAGGTCAGCATATCCCGTGGAAGGAATGCATGGGCGTTGGTAAACGATGTAGGTAAGGCGTTGCATGGCGTGGAGTGCCTAACTGGCAAGGGTGTTGTGTTTGGGTGAGTACGTGTGGTGGTGGTGGTGGGGTGGGGGGGCGGGCGAGGTGGAGGGTGCTTGCATTTGGAAATATTTCTGATATGAGTTCAGGAAGAGATCAGGCAGCAAAGAGAGGAGGCACTGGATGATTACTGTACGCAGGTGCGTTGCCTTCAACCAGCATTCCGTGTGTGTGTGTGTGCTAGCTAGGGGTTGAAAGCAAAACTTATCAAAAATCATTGTGCATAGCTTTCATTTTGAATTGAATGTCATGCATGATATGTACCAATTACCCACCCGTTCGGGTGGGGTTTCAATCTTTCTTGTTTTATAGTACGTGTGATAAATTGAGAAGCGGCTTGTTTCATTTCATGCGTTGACAACATCTGAAAAAACAACAAACAAAATGAAATTGTATATAATTGGCATTTTAGCCAAAATACTTGGAATAATAATACCACTTTTACTAGGAGTTGCTTTTTTAGTACTAGCTGAACGTAAAGTAATGGCTTCTATGCAGCGTAGAAAAGGTCCGAATGTGGTAGGATTGTTTGCGTAGACGAATAATGACCTGCACTTGTTGTTCACACAGCGCGGGCTACGAATGTCATTTTGAAAGATATCTTAAAATGGATAGACAAAACAATTGCTACTGCACGCCTGGACACCGGGCCCTCACTTTGATTTCGTTTTTCTCAAATAATGTTGCAAATTTGAAAATGACCCAAAATCTGTTCGTATTAGAATGCTGCAGAACGGATCTTATTATCTTCTTTCCAGAATTTCTGATTTTTTAATTTCTTGCGGAAACTCCAAATTTGGGAAACTTTCCTTAATGATTGTCTTCTTTAGTTCTTAATTCTAATAAAATTAATAATTTATTAGTTTTGGACTTCTGAATTATTTGGGACCGGGCTATGGACCTCCAGGTTGGACAGTAGGATGCCGGGTGCTGGGTTGGATGACCTGAATGTAGCACTGGAAAATGCCGTTATTGATATTTCAAAATGGATGGAGAAAAGTTAGAAAACCAATATTAGTCTAGGCTACCAGCCGGGCCGCCCGGGTCACCCTGTTTTCCCGGGAAGCCCGACCGTGCAAGGACTTGCATAGAAAAAGGGGAAAAAAAATTCCAAAAATTCCGAAAAAAAAACGATGTTATGCAGAAAAATAAACTGAACAACTTTTGCCTCAGGGTCATGTCAAAATTCTTTACCAAATTGTAGGCCGTCCTGTCCAGATTTGACAGGTAATTGAATTGGTTGGGCTTAAAGAATTAGCCTTTTTTTTTCACAAAAAAAAAATAAAAATCTTTACCGAATTGTAAAATATAAAAAAATAATTTAAAAATTGGATTTTTTTCTTTTTTCTTTTTTTTTGGCCCGGCCAGGCAAGTCGTTCCAGGCCACTCTGGTAGCCTAGATATTAGTATGATTTTTATTTATTAAATTATTTATTTATTTATTATTATTATTATTATTTTGCTATATTAGAATATGGACTCTGGAGTGAACTTATTTTCCTTTGTTTCCCTTGGCTAGAACCTTATGCAGCAGCCAAGGGTTGTCCAACCTTATGGTGGACATTACACATGTGCCGGGACTCGGAAGTTGTAAGCTGAAACTTAAACGCCCACTCCTGCTGAGCGACCAACAGAATTCCCCGCTGGTAGTTAACTGGTAGGCCCCGGCCAGGATTGAAAAACAGGCCTGATGCGGGTTTGGCCAGGGTGCAGATTGAAACGGTTCCCGGTCAGGTCTGGTTGGCATACCGGCCCAGCCAATGGTCTGGCAACAAATGATGGGTGTCTGGTTTAAAGAGTGACATGTTTCCTTGGCGATAGAACATGGCCTGAAGAGCAAATGCTTTGCGTCTGAATAAATGAAAGAAGGCGCATTTGCTAACTTGAGTTTAGCCCTTAGAAGAATGCGGTTTGACTGTTTGGGTGGCTCTTAGAAAATGTTGTCACATTTGGCAATATCGACATTTGTGCAGCGTGTGAGCTCCGTTGCAAACAGTTCTCAACGTCTCGAAGGATATGCTGCTGAACGCTGTTTTTTTTCTGTGTAAATCAGTCCTTGCACGGGAATGGAGGAAGTGGAATTTCGTTTTATAAAGCTTTGAAGTTTGAATCCTCTTTCATTCGGAAAGCCTGGCTAAACACTTTGTGAAAGATGGGGGAGGAAGAGCTTTGGTGGACGGTGGGATGATTAGCGGTTATGCAGGGAAAAGGAAGGTGCAAGGAACCAGGAGGGATGGCAAGAAAGCAGGATGAAAATCTTATCTAATGGGAACTAGAGGGCCGAGGTTGCTAGCCTGACGTAGGATATGAGAGCGATGTGGAAATGGGTGTTAAGAAGCATGTGCGTGTGTGTGTGTGTGTGTGTGTGTGTGTGTGTGTGTGTGTGTGTGTGTGTGTGTGTGTGTGCATGTGTCCTTGTGTGTGTGT